GTCATAAATGGAAACAACAAAGCTTCAAGTTTCTAAACCAAAGAGCCTGATGGCCTCCACCAGCTATGCCCCCACTCCCAAAGCCCCGACTCAGAAACACGCCTCGAAATAACCATGTGCGACTGGGTTATAACCATCTTGCCTAAAACCATCTTGGATCCTCTGTGGCTTTATCGGTGAAGCAACACATCCACAGACTTACTCTGGCAGACCGGCGCCGAGCTCCAGGCGGCGTCCACACATCTCACGGTGGCGTCTGCCGGTTCGTATCCTTCGTTGCATGTTACAGTTAATGTGCTTCCCTCCTCATACCAGCTGTGTGAGCTGTCAGAGTGGTCTGCGTTGGGAATAGCTGGTAGAAGGCAGGCCTTGTCATCTGAGGAAGGAAAAGGCAGAGTGGACACATTCAGCTGTATGCAGGCTGTTGCTCGTAAAGTTGGAATAAAATATGTTTTTTAAACTTTTCTCATGGAACAATAGTGACAATGCGATTTATTCTTGATAGATAACTTTACTCAAAACTTTACTGAATTGACAATATGCAGTATGTCACTTGGAACGAGTCACATGACACCCAGGAGGGAAAATGACTAATTGGGCCCAACTTGGACCTTTTCACTTTGGGGTGTACTCACTTTTGCTGCCAGCGTTTTAGACATTAATGGCTGTGTATTGAGTTATTCTGAGGGGACAGTGGATTTACACTGTTATACAAGCTGTACACTGACTGCTTCACATTTCTACAGTGTTTTGTCCCATGAAAAGATATCATAAAATATTTGCAGAAATGGGACATACTGTACATACAATACATGTCACAGTGAAAATTAAACCACAATTAACTTTTGCTAACTCTGTATTCAGGCTTAAACTACATTGGGGGTATTGAACCATCGGGTTAAGGGTTTCAGTTTTTCAACCTTGATCACGTTAACTGGAAACACTTCATTCATAAGAATGTCCAATATTACTCTTTCAAATGTCACTAATATTGAGTCTGGCCCCCTGACATGGATCAGTGTGTTCAGACATGGTGGCGTTCTGTCCACCAGCTGGTTGATGGTGTCAATGGGCACATCCAGGGCCACATAAGCATAACGTTTGCCCTCAGGGGGTCGGCTTTAACTGTAAGACTCTTGAACATATTGTCGAATAATCGTCTCTGCATTCGATTATTATTTATTCTATGTACAAATATTACATATGCCTTCACCTAAAAGTATATTTTTTTTTAATTTTACCTTTATTTAACCAGATAAAAGACCCACTGAGATCGAAACCTCTTTCACAAGGCAGCAGATAAACACAACAAAACAATCCCAAAATAAAAAAACATTAAAAAATGGAAAGTGTAGACAGTAAAGTGCAGGTGTGATGACTTCAGTATCAGTTTAAAAACACTGGCACTGCTGAAAGGAACTTAGTTGTTGGTCTTTTAGGAAACAGCGAAAGGCTTCAAGGGACGTAAAAATAAATTAAACCTTAAAAAATACATGTAAAATAAATGTGGGCACATTGCTGTGCTATTATAACATAAATGACTACATTATGTCATGTAAATCCCATTGATTTATCAGATTAGGAAACACACATCCAGATTCAGGCCTTGAGTTTGACCCAAGTTCATATTGCGCCCCCTTGTGGGAGCCAAAAACCTGATATGTGAGAAATGAATTGTGCCGGAAATGGTTTAGCAGAGCAACATATTTGAATCCTTTTGTTACAGGTGGATGAGCACTCTTGAAGTATGTAGATAATAGAACACTTTAATTCTATGCCTGCATCTTATTTTTTATATATTTTTAGGGAGCAGGTTTATGAAGACCAAATAAACAGCATCACTACGTAGAAATAAAATTCCATTTCATATTTAACAATCTACAGTCATCATTCTCTTTTCTGTGCACATATTTTCAATTCATCTTACATATCTGAGTATTTCTTGACAGCATAGCTCGAGCTTAAAGGTTTCCCCTCGACGTTTTTACAGCACTCACCTACACACCGTGGCTCATGAGACCATTTTCCGTTCCGACACGTGCTTGTCGCCCACCAGCCCTCCACTGCCGGTTTGTGACCCTTATCGCAGGCGTAGCTGAGTGTCGATCCATGAGGATACGTCTCCTGTTCAGGGACAACATAACCGCCGTGGAGGCCGGGAGCAGGACACGGCTGAGCTGAAACACAACGAGCAAAACTAGGAGTTCACACCGGACGTACGTTTAACAAACTACGAGACTAAATGCAAAGTTCTGACCGTGAAGCGCTCCAGGAAGCCAAAGCAGGAGGACGAACCCGAGACGCCACATTTTGTCAGGAATCAAATCACCACAACAAAGCAAAAGGAGTCGGGAGCCTTGTTTAGATGTGAGCTGGTTAATAATTGCTGAGCTACGAAGTGAAGTAATAGTAAACATTACGCCGAGTAGCTGTCATCAGCCAACAAACAGAGTGCAAACAGGCCTCGTGTGCTCCTGGCCTTAATGAGGCTTCACAAATTTAAAATCAGCATCATGTGCAGTGATCGCTTCAGTTTTCTGACCTCAACACTGGGAGGTTTAACAATAGTCAAGGAAACTTTGGTTATTTGTCTGTTGTTTGTGTGTTTAAGAGACGGTTATTCATTTGTCCTTTAAAATCGCTTTGGCCACAAAATCTACGACATTGTTTACTGTCCAGATTTCGAAGGGATTTCCCGGACGGCCGTGATCAGAGGTCAGCGTTATGAAACAGCAAACCTCAGACGCTTTCCGTAAAGGCTGAATCATGCAACCGAAGCAGGCCCCCAGATCATGACCACTATTAATTTTGAGTCTTGATATATTCACTGAACCGCTTGACAGTCGTCCTCAGATGGATTCATAGCCTCCCATTAAAGAAGGAAAAAAACTGCTTCAGAAATAAGTTACAAAAGTAATAATAAATAAAAATGCAATGAACATCATGACGTTCCTTTTGAATTGCAGTTCTACAGAAATATAAAAAAAAAAATCAAGCAAACAAGCACGATGGGACCCTCAGTCAGACTTCTGCACCTGTTGACAGGTGTTCTGATTTCACTGCTCATCAGCAAAGACCTTTCATTTGTCCAGGACAGTTTTTATTTATTTATTTTTAATTATTCTTTTCAACCACACTTCAAAAGCAATGTCTTATTTCACTAAATTATAATTTAGCAAATTTTTATTTATAATTACTTTTTTCAGTTTCTAGTTATTTGAGTGACTAATGTGAATTTTGCCTTTTCTTTAATGGAAGGTTATGAACACATTTGAGGACGACTGTTTGTCTCGTGTTCCAACTCGGCCTCTGGTCGCCACCTGCTGGAGCTTTGTGTGCTCTGCGTCGTGGCCGTCATTCACGTTATCAGCAACTCCAGCGATTTAATTTAGACTGTCTCAATGTGTTTAAGTTGAATTGAAGCATTTCTTGGTGTAAAACAAATGAATGGGATACACGAGACAAACTTAAAAGCCTTTAAGGTTTGACGCCTTTTCTCTTCCCAGTTGCAGTAACACAACGCAGCAGCTTCAAGTAAAACTGTTAAGTGCAATTTGCGAACAATTATCCTTAATTTCACATCTGCATATGTGAAATGTGTCTTTATTTTATCTTTATTTTGTATTTCTTGTCTTGTTTTGTTGTTACGATGCCTCATTTGCATCCAGCTGCTGTAATGTGGGAACTTCCCCAGTCAGAGATCAATGAAGTTTCCATTATCTTATCTTATCTCTTAAAAAAAATATATATATTTTTTCTCCTTGCACTGGTCTCAGTTTTGAGATTTTGGGCTTTTTTTCTTCCACAACTGTCCTTCCTATCAGACATTTGGAGAAAATAAATGTCTAAAATACACATTTATGTTTTTTTGTTGTTGCTTTTTTACATGTTTTTCTCAAAACTGGTGATATCAAAAATAAAATAAATAAAATTGTCTTGACGTAATTAATCATATCGAGAAGTTTTTTGGGGCGATGTATGAGTTAACATACAGTTTAAAAAAAAAAAAAAAA